TGTATCAAAGAATGCATAAGCCTGTTGCCAACTTCAGGAGAAATCCTTTCGTTCAGAAAATCTTTCGCTCTTAAGGACTTAACTCAATCTTAATATGGCTCACATTGCCAAAAAGGTTCCCGACCCCTGCCCTAGGGGATTGGTCAGCTTTGATAGTGACCAATCTCTTCCGTAGAATCTAGTTCCACTCTCACGCTTGATTGGCACAGGAAAAGGTGTGACGGTGGATCAGGGTTCGTACGAACCGATCGTAAGCCCTACTAATTTTTATCCTAGTCTATAAAAGTAATAATCGCAGCTCTCTTCGATTATTAGCTTTTTTTGCGTTTGATATGTTTGTCGTTAGAATTTATTTTACTTTCAGCGTCACGTTCTCTCACTGCCTTTGGGAATGGCAGGGTCGAGCTCCTGCTTATTAAAAAGTTCACATTAAGCAATTGTCCATATCAAAGGATCTCATGACTGCGGTGGTAGATGTGCAACACGGATGCGAACATGGGCAAGAACATCACAATAAACATTTGGCCTTTGTGCCAACCGGTGAGATTCCTCGAAAGGAGGAATATGTAACGTGTCCATTATCCATTTCACTGAATGCTGACGTTCCAGATTAATGGATTGTCATTTGCCGATGAGAAAATAATGATTTACCTTCTCCAGCAGCAAAAGCATGCTTCTAAAAACTGGAATGGATATTAATGCAGAGGCTCACGTCGCCGATACTGGAAGCGAGTACCAACGTCGAGAGTGCACTGGAACCCCTCGGGAAAGGGATATTCGTCATCCCAGGTCGTCGTGAGGAAGGAGTTCCCGGTGACATTCACGAACCCATCTGGGTAGACTCTCATTCGAACGACGTTGAAGGTCGGCGTGGAACCGTCCATGCTCACTCCCAAGTAGTCGTATTCCAGGATGATGTCCTCCTGGCCGTTGTTCGGGTCTGCAGTGGGGAGATTCGCCGTTAATGAAAGAGTAACAATTCGTTTTGAATCGCTAAATATGACGATGGATTCGAAAACTTGAAGGAATTCTCACTTCAAGCCCGAAAAAAAAGGAATTGTTAAAATCCTGTTATAACTCCTGACTCCTTCATAACTCCATTGTAACTCATTTTATGAAACCTTCCGCCTGTGTACAGGAGTAGGAAATAACTACACGTCCATGTGAAATGAAACAAAATAGAAACTGACCGCTTTCGATGTAGAACTGAAAATGGTAGCCTCCTCCCTGAGCCTTGGACACTCCAGTCGTCGGGTTTCCTTCGCACAATTCCACCAGGCCCACGAATGTGACGTGTGTACCGCCGAGAAGTTGAGATTTCAGGTCATCGTAGGTCGTGATATGCTCACTGGAAAGAACAAATACCCGCGATTGCTCTCACCGCAGTTGACAACATGAATGATGCAGCCAGCTATTCTATGAGGATTGTTCGAACTTGATCTGGGCTTTTGTTTACAAAATTGCAGAGTAATGTGAGAAGAGTATCAATTTTGGGGGAACTTGTCTTTATAGTGTTGGTAACTCGTGTACAAAACCACGTGTTTCCCGCTTTTATTCCATGAGCTGAAAACCAACATGGCGTCAATTGAGGTAACGAAGAGGATGTAACGATAAAAGATAATTACGAAATTTTTAATGAAAGAGAAAATCAATCTTGTTGAAACTTACAGGCAATTATTTTCATTGTGACAATATGATGATTGCCTGTGAAACTTGACTGGTGCAAAGCATTTAAAGGTGGACGTGAAAGTGTACAGAATGAACCAAATGCTGCAACACCCCAGCCCCCTCGCCACACATGAAAACAAAGGTCAAAGGATAAACATGTCCTCGACAGGCAATCATCACCTTCCTGCACAGACAATCGCCTGTGGATTTCAGCACATTTGATGTTCTCGCTGATCAGAAATCTGTAAAAGACCAAGAAACGAAGCGGACGGAGTAAGAAGAAAACCGCCATTTTAAGAACGGAGGTTCAGGGATCATCCACGGTCTCCCTTTAAGCTCCATCTCTCGAGAAGAAAAATCCAATTCGACCGCACCAACAACAGAAACGAACGAGATCCGCATCCTACCGTTAACCAAATCGTCTCATCAACCGCGAAGGAAAGCCCTCCAACCCAACCGCCCCGCTCCCAGCTCCATCCAGAAGCGAACAGACTTGGGAAAGACGAATATCCTCTCGAAGAAGAAGGCCCCAACGTTGAGCGTGCATTCCGCGACCGTGGAATTCTTAAGCGAGCCATCCAGGCCCGAGATCTCGTGGAGCACGAACGAGGCATTCCCCATGTCGTCCAGCGACCCCGTCACCGCCACCAAGTCTCCGTCGTCTAGCAAAGCACCGTAAACCAACGTAAAGACGGAGGATATCGCGCGAAAGCGAGACTAATCTATTGAGCGTTGGAGACAATTCGACGCGAGTTCAAAGGATACCAGTGGGCTGACATTGATTTATTTTATGTTTACGATTTTTCATATTTTGAATGTTTTAGTGCCTTTAACATTATCTTCGGGAATCCAAGGCAAAATCCTGCTTTGGATAGAAAAGTCACTTTGCGATCGAAATTCAAATTCAATGATGAACATTTTCCCTCAGATTCTGCGCTCTTGCATTTTATCACCTCTTAACGCGATCATGAAATCGCAATCTTCCCGGGCGAAAGCAGTTCTACAACTGGGTTGCCCTTGCCCAAATTTTTTTTTCCAACGCGCATTCATCGAAGAGAAAAAAGTATTCGTACAGAAGATGAATTCGTGATTGAAGGTGACGAAATCCTCGCTGCCGTCCTCCAGCTGGATCCTTGTCCATGGGTCCAGCGGAATCAACAGTGCCTGTCACGAAGAAAACCAAGAGTCATTCCATCCGACCTTCGTTGTATCTTCCCCGGCTGGGAAGGGTTGGGGGGTGGGGGTGGGGGTGGGGGTGGGGGGGGGGGGCGGTGGACTCACAGGCTCGAAGCTGAATTTGGGAGGGAATTGGTCGTCGCAGTTGGAGCCGTCGAAGATGGCCATCACGTGATTCCCGAGTTCCAGGGAGGCTACCACTTCCTCGAAGGATAGAAGCTGTTGAGCTTTTTTTTTGCAAAAAAATGCGGAATGGCCGATTAATTTAAAATTGAATGAATCATTCCTGCACGACACAGGGCAATAGCGGTATGCACAAGTTATTGCATGCACGCACCCTTCGATTCGTGCCACGCCTAATAATTCGTTAGGGGAAAGACCGGCTTCGCGGAATGGCTGCCCAAAGATGATTATGAAAAAAATCTGTGAAATGAAATACGACATTTCGTGCCTCATGTTATTGCGAAGATAAGTCTCCATCACATCGCCAAGACACGACTGAAGAAACCGCTCAAAGCTCTTGGCTCCTCTTCGAGCGTCCTCAAATCTTCCCGCCTTTTCCAACATTTTACTTCGGCTGGTCTCATCTCACGACGGTCTCGCATCGGGCAGAAGGTTCGAAGAGGCTCACTGGGTCTGAAGACCCCTTCCGCATCGCGATTCCCGAATTTCTAAACGCCTCATCACCAGTGGCGTAGCCAGGTTTTCGTCAATGGGGGGGGCTAAGCGGT